AATATATTATCAACCATTCAAAAGATAAACTTAGGAATGTTTTTTTTGTCATAGCAATATTTTTTTTACGTGATTATTATAATATAGTTGATTTATAGATTTTTTGTTGATTTTATTTTGGCAGTGCACTTCTGTATATTTTAATTGCAGAAATTGACAATAAACACTTGTAGGTGATACATTGCATTAAAAAGGTGTGAAAATTGGATCCTTTGGTCATCACTTTATCAGGAAAAATTGGCAATTAAGTAAACGGTTTCGCTTCGACCAAAAAAAAGAAAAAGTAAACGGTTTCGCTTACTCGTAACATAACAGGTTAACACTTAACAACATCAATGATTAATCGTCTTAGTCTCTATATATACACAAGAGCCTCATCAGAGTATATTCATCACCTAAAAAAGAAGAGAGTAAGAGAAAAAAAAAATGTCGAAGCAAAGAGAAATTTTCATATAATTTATGTTAATATATTTGTATACGTACATATACATCGACTAGTTAGTTCAAGATCACATATAGTATAGCCATTTCAACTCCATTAAGCCATTATGGTTCGAGCTCAAGAACAAGGACATGGTCTGATTTCCAACATCCGGTTATCGACGGTGGGTGCAGCCCGAGCAACGGAAACCGGTACAACACACGAACCAACCGGTTTAGACCTAGCAATGAAGCTCCATTACCTCAAGGCTGTGTACATTTACTCGTCCGAGGCAGCACGTGACTTGACCGTGACACACGTGAAGGAGGCTATGTTCGTGCTGTTTGACCAGATCGCTTGGACCACTGGAAGGTTCTCACGGAGAGACTCGGGCCGTCCATACATCAAGTGCAACGATTGTGGTACTCGTTTCGTGGAAGGTGAGTGTAGTCTCACGGTGGAAGAGTGGCTCGGTAAACCGGACCGGTCGGTTGATGAGTTTTTGGTTTACCATCAACCCATTGGACCGGAGTTGGCTTTCTCTCCTTTGATCTATGTTCAGGTGACTTTACAACAATTTTCTCTTTCTTTAATTTGCCATTTTCATACACACACACAAATCGCAT